TATTTCTCAGTTTTACATACCTCAAATCAGATCCCACCTCAGCCTCCTCTGCTCCAAGGAAAACAGACCGAGTCAGTCCAGTCTCTCCTCATTACTCAGGCTTTCCATCCCAGGCAACATCCTGGTGAATCTCCTCTGCATGCTCTCCAGAACGATCACATCCTTCCAATATTGTTGTACCAGAACTGCACAAAGTCTATGGCCTAACCAATGTTTTATAAGGTTGTAATAAGACTTCCTTGCTCCGATGTTCTCACCCTGGCTAATGAAGGTAAGTGTCCATTATGCCTTCTGCACCATCTTGTCTACCTGTGCTGACACTTTCAGGGATCTATGGATTTGTACACCAAGATCCCTTTGTTCATCAGTACTATCCAGGGACCTACCATTTATTGTATATATCCTTCCTTTATTAGGTCCCCCAAACTGTGTCACCTCACACTTAGCAGGATTAAGTTACACCTACCATTACTCTGCCCAATTTACCAGCTGATCAACATTAGACTGTAGCCTCAGTCAATCCTCCTCACTACCAACAACACTGTCAATTTGTGTCACCTGCAAACTTACTAAATTATACCTTCTACAGTTACATCTAAGTCATTAAATGTACCTAACAAACAGCAAGGGTCCCAGCACTAATCCCTGTATTACACTGCTGGTCACAGACTTCCTGACACAAAACAACCCTCAACATCACCCTTTGCCTCCTATCTGGAAGCCAAATTTTGGATCCAGTTTGCCAACTTGCCTTAGATTCTATGGGCTTTCAATGTGGAAACTTGTCAAAGACCTTACTGAAGTCCATGCAAACCACATCAACTGCACTACCCTTATGAATAACCTTATCACCTTTCCAAAAAAGCTCAATTAAAGTCAGTCAGATAGACTTTCACTCTAACAAATCCATGTTGACTATACTCAATCAATTCCTGCCTTTCAAAGTATTGTTTAATCATGTCCCTCAATGTTTCCAATAATTTCACTACCACTGACATTGGATTAACTGTCTGTAATTAAAATGTTAAAATTTGTTCTGTAGCTACTCTAGCCTTTTATATTGCAGAAATCATTAAGCAAGAGCGTTTTAAATATTAATAGTAAAATACATCTATTTTATCTCAAAGCAAACAGAATCAATGCATAGTATTATTTTAGCAGATTCCAATAAATGTCTGTGGCCCTTCAGTGGGATTGTTTGACTGGATAGAACTGAATCAAAAAAGGTAAAGTTTCAATACTTGACAGTGTGCTGAATTAACTATTCTCGGTATTTTTGTGACAACAATAAGGAGGTACAATTGGTTCAATGAGCCTTAGTTTAACAACTGAAAGCAGCAAGGTTAACAATCCCAATTGCTAACTTGCAATTCCTGCTTCATAAATCAACATGACCATTAAGTAGGAATGCTGTAATATTCCATTTAATATTTTTTTTTTTAAAAAATCAACCCTTCTTGCCAAGGAAAGACATGATAGTTTCCTCAAGGATGTTTCACTGAAGCACGGCCAGTGCCTTCACAAGGGGAATATAAAACAGAACTTTTAATCAAAAATGTTTTGGAACTCTACTTATCCCTTAAGAAATGGTTTGATTTGCCATAAATGCCCTGGATCTAGAAAACCAATAAAACATCAAGCAGAGCATGCTATAAACAGCAAAACCTGAAGTAATCTCTGGTTATGCAGTGGTTTGGTTCAAAATTAACAAACCAGGCCATGTCAGTTACTTGTGATGACATTTTTGTTTAAAGCATTTATGGGATTTAGGCTCAGCCAGTGATGCCCATCTATTGCCTATTCCTTATGACCCTTGAACGGAGAGGTTTGCTAGGCAATTTCAGAGGGCAGTGAGAGTCAACCACTTTGCTGTGGGTTCGGAGTCACATTTAAAATCGACAAGTAATGATGGAAAATTAGATTCCCTAAAAAAAAGGCATTAATGATCTAGATGGGTTTTTATGACAATCAATATGATCACCATTAGACTTCAGGTTTCAAAAGATAGTGAATTTAAGCTTCACTGCCTGTGATGGTTGCATTTGAACCTATGCCCACAGATCATTAAGGACTCTGGATTACTAGTCTCGTGACATTACCACCACCTCTCCTGATTACATAAAGTTATCTTTCAAGTGGCCACTGAATCATTTCAAGGAAGAATGCTTTCAAATTCTTGCAATGACACCTAGTAAGATACAGTCAGCTAATACATTTTATATATTAGTATAAATTAAACTCTCATGCATCACTATAAAGCACTCTAAAAGACAAAAGCCTAATGCTAACATGGTGTAGAACTTGTTTTTATATAGTAGCTTTAGCATCCTAAAAACAAAAACACAGGAAAATAATTTTAAAAAAACACGTCAGCAAGCCATGAAGAAGTTAGGTCCAACAACCAATACACACCCTGAACCTTCTTACGGAGGGGAAATAAATACAAAGACTATTACTAGAGAAGAAGTAGAAGGGCGACTAATGGGGCTAACGTCCAGTATCCCAATGGGATACACCCTAGGATATTAAAAGAAGTACCTACCGAGATAGCGGATGCACGTATAGTAACCCTCCCAAGAATCCTTAGATTCTGGAAAAGTCCCAGCAGGTTGGAAAACTGACCTTGTCAACATCAACATTTTGTTTAAAAAAAAGGAAAAAAAAATTAAAAATAGGTGACTGTAGAACAGTTAGGTTAATGTGTTATTGGGAAAGTGTTAAAAGCTATTGTAAAGGATAAAATAGCAGAGCATTTAGAAATACATATGATAAGGCACAGTCAACATGGCTTCATGAAAGGAGAAATTATGCCTGACAAAGTTATAGAGTCAGAGTTCTACAGCCCATAAACAGACCCTTTGGTCCAACTTGTCCATGCCAACCAGATATCCTAAATTAATCTCATCCCATTTGCCAGCATTTGGACCATATCCATTTAAACCCTTCCTACTTGTATACCCATCCAGATGCCTTTTAAATGTTGTAATTGCACCTGCCTCCTCCACTTCGTCTGGCAGCTCATTCCATACATGTACCATCCTCTGCGTGAAAATGTTGCCCCTTAGGTCCCTTTTAAATCTTATCCCTCTCACCTTCACTCTATGCCCTCTAGCTTTGGACTCCCCTACCCTGGGGGGAAAAGGGCCTTGACCACTCACCCTACCCATGCCCCTCATGATTGTATAAATTTCTATAACAGGTCACCACCAACCTCCGACACGCCAGGGAAAACAGCCCCAGCCTATTCCTAAAGCTTAAACCCTCCAACCCTGGCAACATCCTTGTAAATCTTTTCTGAACCCTTTCAAATTTAACTATCTTTCATATATCAGAGAGATCAGAATTGAATGGCTGAAGAATGAAGGGTTTTGAACTATTCTTTGTTTGTACATACTGTACTGCCTCACTTACCGTGGTCATGTGCATTCCGTTTGTGCCTTTGCAGACAGTCTGTGGCAGCCATTAATTGAATGCATTATTCCAAAAAAGTGTCTAGGCCACATTGAAACATTCAAGATTTTTAGGGCACTTAACAGCTTAGATGTGGAGGGTTTTTGCATCTTCTGGGAGGATCTAGGACCAGGGGGCATAATCTGAAAATAAAGAGTCAATCTTTTAAAATAGATGAGGCTGTTCTCTCTCAGAGGGAGTAAATTTTGGAATTCTTTACCGAAGAGGGCTGTAGAGTTTCGGTCATTAAGCATATTCAAGGTTTAGATAGACATTTAAACTGTAAGGGAAGCAAGCATTACGGAGGAAGGGAAGCAAGCATTATGGAGGAAAGGCAGTAAAGCAAAGTCGACAGTCATCAGATCAATCACTGATCACATTAACTGGCATTTGCTCCTGCATCTTAGACTCTCTCACGTAAGTGCACTCTAGTGGTTCTCAAACTGGTCAAGGAGGTTGCTATTTATAAGTTTCTCAAGAGGATAGCAAGATAAAGATATAGGGAGGGTATTCTGTAGTTTGGGGCCTAGGCAATTGAAGGCACAACCACCAATGCTGCAATGATTAAAGTCAGGGATGTTCAAAGGCCAGGGTTAGAGAAGGGTGAGTAGATAGATAGCTTGGAAAGGAGCCAGAGGATATCAGAGAGATTTGGTACAGCAAGACCATGGGGAAATTTAAAAACCAAGGATGTGCACTGCTTTTAAAAAAAACACCAATACCATGCTTGATCAGAAGCCAATGTAGATCAGCAAGCACAGGGATAAATAATGGAGCAGAATTTCATGGTTCAGTTTTTAACAATTGCTTGATTAAGGAATTGACTGAAAGGTATCAAATCATAAATTATTTTAACACCAATAGGCTAAGCTGTGATGATTTTTAAAATAAACAGAAGTAATAGGCAAAAACGTTCTTACAATTCATTTCCACGTACTCATGCTAAAATTAAAATTGTTACATAATAGATTGGAGGAGATAGGATTAAATCCTAGTTTATCAGTACTTGCATTAAGACAGTGTTCCATATATTGTACCGCACAGGAAATCAGCAAACATTACAAATGTTACACTTCTTTCCTACTGATATGCTCGGTCAAAGCATATTGTCCGTATCCCACGCATGTATAAATTGACTAAGTTTCCAGGACTTAGCAACCTGTCCGAAGATAGGTGACCTGAATTTAAGATTCTCACACAATCAGTTCACTTTTGGTCGCTGAACTCTAGCCATTCGTTTACTGGCAAACAGAAACCAAACATTCCTCAGAGGCACCTGCTGTATAAACTTAAATGACTCGGCAGAACATGAAATTGCCCCTGCTTAACAGCCCCTTGCATCTTGCTATTAAAACTTGATGATGCAAGCATTATAAAATTATGGGGTCGTTTAAGCTATTACAACATTTACACAAATGCAACTAACTTAAGCAAATGAATGTGCGTTAATGTACGCCAACCCATTACTCAGCCGCTCCAAAACCCGTCACCCACTACAAGTTTGAAACAATGAGAAGACTACAGGCCCAGGTAGAAACGAGCTCCTTTACCCGATCAGTACAAAGATGCAGACAGCCATGACCAAGTAGTTACTCTGGTAATACAGCAGATTGCTGATCACTCGATTGTTCCATTTTGCTAAATCTCGAAAATCCGGCTGGGCGAAACGGGCAGAACCCAAAATGAAATCATCCCAAGGTCTTAAGGGAGCGAATTGTACTTCCATGGTAGTCAGCTACCGCACTGAATGCTCAATAGCAGCGGCGCTTAAAGAGGCGTCACTGACTCCACCCGAGCCGCGCAGGAGAATAAACTGCAGCCTCATTCGGACATATATAGATGATTCAAAACACCAGAGGGAGTCATCCGCCGGTTACAGTCCGGAGAGTTTGTGAAGGTTTCAAACATTGTGATCCGCACATTGCAGCTTTATTCAGCTGAACCCCCCCACTCCCCGCAAACATTTCCAAGGCCACGATCAATATGAAGTAAAATCATTAAACGGATGAAAATTATAAATCTATTTTTTTATTAGAACTATACATGTGTACTCCAGTGGGTCTGAAACTGGAGTCTATACTCCTGAAGGTCTTACATTTTACAGGAGTCCACAATACAACATAAAAATCCATGCGAGCGAAGTTAGCCTGAGAGATGCACCAAGAGTGCTCCAGACAAGACTGTGCAATAGCTCCATGTGAGGCAGGAACAGTGGGGGTTTGCTGACTCGCGTGGGAGGAGGCCATGCAAGGAAAAGTGTTGAGTTTAAGTTTGATTTATTGTTGTCACATGTACTGAGATATAGTGACAAGTGGTGTTTTGCATGTTATTCAGGCAGATTGTACCATACAAAGTGCATCATGGTAGCAAAACAGAGTGGAGAATAGTGTTACAACCACAGAGAATGTGCAGAGAGAGAGATCAAAATTAACATTTGGAGGTCAGTTCAGAAGTCTGATAAATCAGGGAAAAAGCTGTTCTTGAATCTGTTTGAGAACACCATAAAAATTGGCAGGTAGACCCAAACATACCAAAGTTAGCATTGGGCAACAAGTGAGTTAATCACTGTTTGCAAAATGAAGGGTTTTGAACTATTCCTTGTTTGTACATAGTGTACTGCCTCACTTACCGTGGTCATGTGCATTCCATTTGTGCCTTTGCAGACAGTCTGTGGCAGCCATTAAACATATTGTTTGAAACATATGGTGTTAACTATTGATAGAAACAGCAGGGAGGAATTAAAAGAAATCGACAACTTTGAATTACTGGTGACTCAAAATAGCTATGCACTTTCACTCCCAGCTGCTGTTGAAATTAAAGGATATGAAAGAGAATTACAATTCTTCCCACTCTTCCCACAGCAGCAAAACTGTATAATAGCTATGAAATAATACTTTTTTAAAAAAATTTAATTCACAGGATATAAACATTGCTGGCTAGGCCAGCATTTATTGCCCATTCCCATTTGCAATTGATAAAGTATTGGTGGACTGCCTTCTTAAAACGTTTCAGTCAATGTGGTATGTACACACAGTGCTGTTTGGGAGGGAGTGCCAGGATTTTGACCCAGTGATATTGAAGAAATAACAAAATAGTTCCAATTTGGGAAGATGTGTGGCTTGGAGGGGAACCTGCAGATGGTTGTCCTCCCATGTATTGGTGCCCTTGTCCTTCTAGGTGGAAAAGTTATGGCTTTTGAAGTTATGTTGTAGATGATACACACTGCTGCCAATGTGCAGTCACGGGGAAGGGGGTGAATGTTGAAGGTGTTGAATGGGGTGCCAATTAAGCACACCACTTTGTCCTACATGGTGTTAAGCTGCTTGAGTGTTGTTGGAGTGTTGTCTACGTGTTAAGGTGATATGAGTTTATGTTATTACTCATCACATCAGACCCCAGACCAAAATCTGGCTTAATGGATCATACAGGTACTTTGGTTTCTTTATTTAACAAAGTGGTATTTCACTGAAACACAAGCATAGAACACTGCAGATTTGATTTTAACAATAAAACAGAATTTTATTATGCAAAAGGAATGTATATGAAACAGAATAACCCAAACTATTTACATATAACATAATTTGAAAGATTTCAAAACACAGAGAGAAATAAAATCCCATACATTCCCAACACCATCACTTTATAGGACTCAAATACCAGAGAGAGTTCCCTTCTCTATCACATCTATAGGTTTGATTTAACTTTTTCTTTAATTCCTGGACTTGAGAGTTTGATGGCCTTTTCCTTGGTTAGTCACACAACTGAGATTAACATTTCTTAACTTCAAATAATCCATTCATGTTTCCATGCAAAAACTTCTGGTGTGGAATTTTCAAACTTAACCCCTTACACTGCAGTAACCTATTAACAATTCTGAACTCCTTTCTCTAGTCGAAACTGTTCTTACATCTAAACTCAGTTACATCCTCTGCAAACTGAAGTCAAATATTTTCCACTCCATGATTTCTCCCCCTTAAGCAAAATAAATAAATTTCTGATTCTTCTAAACTGAAACAAAGAAGCTAACGCTTTTCCATGTATACACTCTTCAATCATAAAACTGTCACAATACAAACAAATTCCCATTATCACTCCAGGAACTACACTTGCACACATACTGGTTTAAAATTCATCTCCAGAAACACTGGCAAGTTTTTTTTATTCATTCATGGATGAGTGCATTGCTGGCTGGGCCAGCATTTACTGCCCACCCCTAGTCACCCTTGAGAAGGTGGTTGTGAGCTACCTTCTTGAATTGCTGAAGTCCATTTATTATTGGCACAATCACAATGCCATTAGGGAGGGAGTTCCAGGACTTTGACCCAGCAACATTGAAGGAATAACAATACGTTTCCAAGTCATGGTGAGTGGCTTGGAGGAGAATTTTTGGTATTGGCGATTCCATGTATTTGCAGCCCTTATCCTTCTCCATGGTAGTGGTTGTTGGTTTTGAAGGAAAGTTAATCATTAAATCCCCCGTACACATAGACCAACGTCCACATGTCACGAATACAAATTCACTCTAAAATAACCGATATAAATATGTATAGAGCTCTCACCTTACATCGGACAAGCAAGTGTAAAGTATTCCATCATATTCCTGTTATGCCCTATAAATCATGACAAGGCTTAGGAGGTGAGTTACCCTCAGCCAAATTTCTGCCTCTAACCAGCTCTTGGAGCCACAGTATTTATATGGTTAGTTCAGTCCAGTTTCTGGTCAACTATAATCCCCAGGATATTCACAGTAGAGGATTCAGTGATGGTAATGAATTCCAAAGGTGATAGTTAGATTCTCTCTTGTTGGAGATGGTCATTACCTGGAACTTGTGTGATGTAAATGCTACTTGCCACTTATCAGCCCAAGCCTAGACATTGTCCATGTTTTGGATATGGACTGCTTCACTACCTAAGGAGTCACAAATAGTGCTGAACATATAGCAATTCCACTTCTGATCTTTGTGATGGAGAGAAGGTCATTAATGAAGCAACTGAAGATGGTTAGGCCTAGGATACAACCTCGATGAATTCCTGTAGAGATGTCGTGACATTGAGATGACTGACTTCCAACAACCACAACCATCTTCCTTTTGGGCCAGGTGTAACTCCAACCAGTGGAGAGTTTCCCCCAATTCCCTTTGATTCCAGTTTTGCTAGGGTCTTTAATGCCACACTTGGGTCAAATACAGCCTTGAAGCCAAAGACAGTCACTCTCACCTCACCTGTAGAATTCAGCTCTTTTATCTATGTTTGAACCAAAGCTGTAATGAGGTCAGGAGGTGAATGGTCCTGGTGGAACTCAAACTGACTATCATATAGCAGGTTATTGCTAAGCAAGTGCTGCTGGAGTGCACTGTTGATGACACCTTCCATCACTTTATTGAGAGTAGACTGATGGAGTGCTAATTGGATTTGTCCTGTTTTTCGCTCCTACATCATTGACGTTGGATGTATTTGTTAAGTCTTCTCTGGTGAATTGTTTAATCGTTCACCACCATTCAAGGCTGGGTGTGGCAGGACTGCAGAGGTTAGATTTGATCCGTTGGTTGTGGAATTGCTTAGCTCTGTCTGCAACTTGCTGTTTATACAGTTTGGCGAGAAAGTAGTTTGTAGCTTCACCAGGTTGATATCTCATTTTTAGGTTTGACTGGCACCAGTCCTAGCATGCTGTCCTGCAATCTCCATTAAAATTTGGAGCATAAAATTATGTGGAGCAATTATGTCAATTATGATAGGTATCCCTGAAAAATAGAAGGAAGTATAGTGATAGCATAGAATCTCTACAGTGTGGAAGCAGGCTATTTGGCCCATTGAGTCCACACCTACCCTCCAAACAGCATCTCACCCACACTTCATATCCTGCATTTCCCATGGCTAATTCTCCTAACCAGATATCCCTGGACACTATGGGTAATTTAGCATGGCCAATCTACCTAACCTGCACATCTTTGGACTGTGGGAGGAAATCAAAGCACCTAGAGGAAACCCACGCAGACATGGGGAGAATGTGCAAACTCCACACAGACAGATGGGTTAGATAGTGCAGACTACATCAAAGTATTTCATTTTAATCACTTGCACTTGAAGGTGGGAGAACTCAGAAGTAATCTCGTAGACAAAACAAACGTTGCCTATTATTTGTCTGTCAATTTCTACTATCCCTTTGTATGGACGTTAGCATGCTAGTACTTTTTGCACATTTGATATTACTTTGTCTCCTACTTTAACATAATTGGCAAGTCATCCATTTCTAACAAATGAATGATGCTATTAAATGTTTGAAGTAAAATACATATATCCTAATGCTGTACAGATTATTTTTGGGCTTTAAGATTCAAATTTTCCATTTTCTGTGTTTTTCTTCTTTATTCTTTCCTGGGATGCAGGCATCACTGCCAAGGTCAGCATTTGTTGCCCATTCCTAATTGTATGCCAGGCCATTTCAGAGGGCACTAAAGTGTTTTGCTTTGGGTCTGGAGTTTCATGCAGGCCAGACCAGATGAAGATGGCAGATTTCCTTCCCTAAAGGGCTTTAGTAAATCAAATGTGTTTTTACAACAATCAATGATAGGTACATGGTCATCATTACTGAGACTAGTAGATTTTTTTCAGATTTTTCAGTATTCCAGATTTTTGTATTGAACTTAAATTCCACCAGTTGCTGCCTCTGGATTACTAGTGCAATAATATCACCACCGTGTCACCATCTTGTCCTGTGGGAGATTCTACAGAATTATTCAATGTCAACAAAAAGAATATTTATAGTTTTTTTACAAACCAATTTTGTACAAGTTTCGCTGATGAGTTCTTGAAATTAA